AGTTTCCCGTCGGAGTCAGAGATGCGCTCTCTAGTCGCACGTGGCTGAGTTCTGGTGCGGATCTTCATTTAGCTCCATGTGGGCTCTGCAGTGTGTGTTGGGTCGACGATCGTCTATGGCGAAGTGAGACTCACTTTGCTCAAGGTTGAAGGATGGCATGACGATTTCTAGGGGAGGAGCGATGACAATGACGCATGCATGCTGCGTCGACGAGACCCCTCTTTCAGGAGGTGTGGCTACACAAGACCTAGCTTCTATTAAACTTGTCTTGTGTCAACGGTCACTGCAGGAATAAGGGAAAAGGAAACATTTCATGGCTGCATCCTTCATCCTATGCCAAATGTAATGAAGAATAATTTGTTCTCGCCAGAATAACTTCAGGCCACAGTACTGTCCATCGTTCTTTGACCAAGTTTACATGTGAGCAGTCAAAGTGACATGAGTCTGGAGATTAACTGGCCAAACATGGCCTACATTTGTTGGATCACAAGCTGAAGAATTTTGACTCAAGAATTAGATGATGAGGTTCACATTGACCAAGGATAAATCACACGAGTGTCGTCACATCTACATTCACACACCCTCTGCATAAAGCACAGCAGGATATACCCCCTCCGTTCCTAAATGCAAGTCTTTATAGAGATTCCACCATAAACCGCATACAGATGTATATAGATGCATTTTAAGTTTAGATCCATTCATTTTGCTCCGTATGTAGTCCACCTAGTGGAATCTCTGCAAAGACTTATATTTAGGAACGGAGGGAGTAAAATATTACACCCTAGAACATTTCGCACATAACTTGATACGATTCAAAGAAGAGGAAAAGCAGTAACAACAAAAGAGAGGAAAGATGAAAACAAGGACTACCCACATCAATGTCTCTGATGACTTTGTACATACCTGTTCCGTTCATGATCATGCTGCTTCTAAACTTTTACTGGTCCCTTCAGTTAAAGAAGATCCTCCTTAATCTGCTAAATTCCATAACTATTGTCATCTATGGATTCATAAAGACTGATGATTGTCCCGCAAAAAAATAAAAATAAAGACTGATGATTGGATTTGTTCTTATTATTTCTGCTACAGGGCATATGCGTTCAAAGTAAAGGCTAAAAAATATTGTAACAAAAGCAAAAGCCTAAAGGTATAGCATTCAGGTTCCGTATAAGTGTTTCATGGTAGTTTACTGCACTGGTATGCGGATCATTAACTCCATTTGTCCAGCAAACTGACAAAACACCAAGGAATCTGTGTATTTCAGCTATTTGATATTTCTACAACAATGGCTCAAATGGCATTATCAAAATTTCATTAGGAGACATTGGCCTGACCATAAAAAATGGTTAAGAAAAAATAAAAGAGTAAGAAACTCTACACAAGACTTGGATTCTAAGTATTAAACTTGCCTTGTGCCAGTTACGATCAACTTGTCGGTGCAGGAAAACGGCAAAAGAAACTCTCATGTCTGCACCCTTCATCATATGCCAGGTGTATGACCAATATTTTGTAGGTGACTGCTAAGTGAGATGCAGCTCGTCCGCTTCGATCTGGACGCTCACCACACAAATCTCCTAGTACACCTGACAACTCTTTTAACATAGGAGAATGGTTTACCAGGAAGGATAGTACTGTGGCCTGTCGGTGTTGCAGCATTTGATCTCATCTTAATGCTCTCGCTGTTTGTTAACTGCAATTGCACACAAAACCAAATAAGATTCAGGAAAGAGGACAAGCAACACCTAAAGGAAGATCCTCTGTTCTGTTCTGTTCTGTTGATGGTTGTGTCACTTCTAAGCTTTTACTGATCCAATATTAGTCTACTAAATCCAATGAAATCGCCACCCTTTGTCTACCATGAAATTGCCATGCTCGTGGATTCCATCTTCATTCATTTTGTGGCAAGGTTGGATTCGTCTTTGCATTTCCTCGGGTCAATAAGTACAAAAATAATATTAAAAACCTGTAAAAGGGGAATGGCTAAAGAAATATCCTTCAGGTTCCATATCTCTGTGTCATGGTAGTTTACTGCACTGATACTATGGATAAGCGATCCAATTTATCCAGAAAGTAACACAGCTCCAAAAAAAGTGTGTATTCAGTTATTTGCTATTTCTACAACAATGGTTAAAATGGCATTATAATAAAAAAAAACACCAGGAGACGTTGGCCTGACCGGCTGACCATAAGAAAGGTGTATGAGAATAAAAAGAGACTCTACCACAAGACTTGACTCCTGTTAAAGCTGACTTGTGCCAAGCTCAGTCAACTGCCAGTGCAGAAAGAAGGCAAAGGAAAAGACCTCATGGCCTCACCCTTCATCCTATGTCAAATGTATGAACAATAGTTTGTTCTCACCAGAATAACTACAGGTCCCATTAAAATATAACTACTGGTCAGACCACTGTCCATTGTTCTTTGACCAAGTCCAAGTGATATGAGTCTGTACATTAACTGACCAAGCATGGCCCTACATTGGTTAGATCACCAAGCTGAAGACTCGTAATCAAAGAACTAGATGATCAGGTTCACATTGACTAAGGAGAAATCAACCAGTGCCATCACAGTGACATCAACACAACGTCAGCATAAAACAGTGCAGGATCTAAGAGATTACACCCTAGAATATTTTCTTGTCCTTTGTTAAAAGCACTTACACACATGACTAAATACAATTCAAAGAGGAAAAAAAGGCAGCAACACAACAGTGAAGAAAGATGAAAACGAGGACTACACTACATCAATGTCTCCGAAGACTTTGTACATACCTGTTTTGCTCATGATCGTGTTGCTTCTGAACTTTGACTGATCCCTTCAGTAAAAGAAGATCCTTCTTAGTCTGCTAAATTCCATAATATTATCATCTATGGTCACCATCAAATTGCCATATCCGTGAATTCCATTTTTGCTAAAACTGTCATGTGACCAAGTTTATAGTTTTGATATTTCTAAGCACCATTGCTTTTTCCAACTCTAGGTTAATTTTGTGGCTATGGATTTATACAGATTGATGTGCCACATGATTGGATTTGTTTCACTTATTTCTGCATCAATTTATTCTGCATCAATTTGTGGCTAGTCAATAAGTTAATGCCCAAAATGCTATAAAAGAAAGGAAAGGCTAAAAAGATACCAATTGACACGAACCAGCAGAAATGCTGCAATAGGATCCTATCGGTAACATCTCAACCGCGAGTGTATACTGCACTATTTTATCCTGGTATGTGGCAGGAGACCTATATATCTACCGCTCCAACCTAGCGCACATGCGCGGCGCGGTGGGCTGGCCCAGTTTGGTGCACCCTGTTGGTTTTGTGTGGGGGGTTTTTTCTTGGATTTTTGTCGGTTTTCTGGTTTTAAAAATACAAAAAAAAAACTCAGGAACCTGAAAAAAAATGAAAAGCTCATATATTTAAATAAAATACAAAAGCATGCTCGTGAATTTCAGCAATGTTCATAGATTTAGAAAATGTTCACAAATTTTATTAAAAAAATGTTCATGAAATTTGAAAAGCGTTCGATTTTTTAATGAATTTACCAAAAAATAAAGTTTCTTTTAGGAAAATATTCATGAGTTTACAAGATTATTCATGAAACTTTAAAAAGCATATTCACAAATTTTAGAAAAAATGTTCCCAGATTTAGGGAAATGGTCATCTATTGAAACAACATTCATGTATTATAAAAAGAAAAAGGAAACCAGAAATATAAAAAGAAAAGTAAAAAATAGAACAAGAAAAATAGGAAACCCGGAAAAAAACGGAAGAAAACCCAGACAAAACCCTGAAAATAAAGAATAAAACAGTTAGAAATGGGCTGGCCTAGTGCTCATCTTCCCCTGTGTGTCAACTGGCTATATAAGTACAGCGAACGACATACAGAATTTAGCGCAAAAGGTCAAGTCAGGTGGTCTGACAGGCAGGCCTGATTTGTCGAGGTACTCTCAACATGGTCTCCGTTGCCCAGTAGCAGTAGCCTAATGTGCTGCAACATTTTATTTTATTTTCGGCAAATGCTACACAACATGTTGGATGCTAAAATAAGAGAGAAGCTCAAAGTACTCTGTAATGATCACTAGAGTTTAAGAACATAGAGGAGACTAATATCAGCATTAGTGCAGATGCAACGTTCAGCTAGTCAATACGTAAAAGCTCAAAAGCTGTAAAAAACGAAAAGGCTAAAAGGGTTGCATTCAGGTTCCGTATCAGTGTCATGGTAGTTTACTGTACTGGTATTATGGGGCCACTATCTCAATTTGTCCAGCAAACTGACAAAACTACAGAGAATCTGTGTATTCAATTATTTGCTATTTCTACAACAATGGCTCAAAATGGCATTATCAGAATTTCATCAGTAAACATTCGCCTGGCCGGCTGACCATAAGAAAGTGTAAGAAAAAAGAGTAAGAAACTCTACACAAGACTTGGCTTCTCTTAAACTTGCCTTGTGCCAGTTACGGTCAACTGCCAATGCAGGAAAAAGGTAAAGGAAAGATCTCATGGCGGCATCCTTCATCCTACGCGAACTGTAAGCCCAACAATTTGTTCTCACCAGAATTACAACAGGCCAGCCCTTCAGCTCTGTTAATTTGTCACAGCATTACCCAAACTTGTAATTTCTCAAGCAATATGAACTCCAGCAGGAATGAAGCAATGCAATCCTCTCGGTAAACATCTCAAGAGCTCAATCTTATTGTCCTCCCAGTCAGAAGGACCAAGCTGTCAGTGGATTTCCATGAAGAACAGGGCATCCTGAGTTTCTTGTATGGACTATGGAGTGTCACTTGTACACATCTGTATATGCGAAGTATCATCTCAAACATTTCTGACTCATGAGAATCTTAAACAGCTTGGCCCAGATACGCCTGAGGATACACTTCTTGCAACCCTGTGTCTTACATTTGGGTCACAACATAGCCTACTGTTCCAGCTAGCTGCCTCCTGCCTGCCTGCCTGCTCAAAACCCATGCAGCTCGAAATGGTCCGCAAGTGTATACTGCACTATTTTATCCCTGGTTCAGTTTGCGCATCTTCTCTGCTTGTAAACTGCAGCTTTGACACCAAGTCATCCAGGATAACATATATTTCCTGGTTCTCAGGTTGCCTCTCCCTAATTTTAAATTCACTTGCGATCTCATTTAGATCCACCAGACGGTGTCCAGGACTGAACCTCTTATCGCTTTCCTTTATGATAGCCTTCACCCTGTGAGCATCTTCCCATCTTCCCGCCGAAGCATATACACTGCACAACAGAGCATAGTGAGCACAGTTGCTTGGTTCCAGCTCGATCAACCTGAGGGCTATACGTTCCCCAAGTTTCCATTCCCCTCTGAACCGGCACAACCCAAGCAAACCACCCAATGCACGTGCCTTCAGCTCCTCTGGCACGCTCTTCAAGAGGCTCTCTGCTTCTTCCAGAAGGCCAACACTCCCATACAGATTCGCCATGCACCAATAGTGTGCGAATGTTGGCCTGAGACTGTACGTCGTGGTCATCTGGTTGAAATATACCTTCCCAGCATCCAGAAGACCTAAACGGGTACACGCGCAGAGTACACCAATGAAAGTGACTTGATCTGGTCGCAGAACCCATTGGTTATCTGAACCATTCTTCCCTGAAAAGGCAAGCACTAGATATATAAACTTGAAAATGCATGGAGCCTAAGAGAAGCACAAGCATATATAGAAACCAACGTACGCACCTCGTCCAATCATCTGATGGAACAACTCAATCCCATCACCAGGCTCGCCATACACGCAATGCCCGATGATCATTGCATTCCAGCAAACTGTATTCTGGATGTTGAGCCGATCAAACACCTTCCTCGCAGCCGCCACCCTCCGGCACTTGCCATACATATCAACCAGCGAAGTCCAAAACAAGAGGTTATCCTCCTCAAAGCGGCGCAAGTATGCACAATGCACCTCCCTGCCAGACCCCAGCCTCCCCAGCCTGGCGCACGCGGTGGCCGCCCCGACCATGGTAGTCGCGGTGCCCCTGACCCCGACCCCCACCATCCACCGCACCACCTCAAGCGCCTGCTCGGGCCGCTTCGCCTTCACATACCCGTTGATCATGACGTTCCAGGACACGGCGTTCCTGAGGAGCATTCCATCGAACAGCTGGCGTGCGGCGTCAACGCCGCCGCCCGGAGCAGCAGCGTGGGCCGTCATCATGGTGTTGTGGGACGCGATGTCCCTGAAGGGCATTTCGTCGAACAGGTGGCGCGCGGCGGGGAGGCTGCCGGCGGCGCCGTAGAAATGGAGGAGCGCGTTGGCGGCGTGGGGCGGCGGCGCGAAGAGCAGGCCGCGGCGGAGCAGCTGCGCGTGGAGCGCGAGCGCGGCGGGGAGGTGGCCGCGCGGGGAGCGCGCGGAGGCGGCCGCGGAGAGCAGCGGCGGGAAGGCGAAGGCGTCGGGGAAGCCGGAGGGGGCGTGGGCGCGGAGGAGGTGGGTGAAGAGGGAGAGCAGCGCGGAGAAGGGGACGCGCGGGGCGACGGCGCGGAGGGCGGCGGAGAGGGAGAAGAGCGGGAGCGGCGGGGGCA